ATCCACGTGGACTTAATATTTATATAAATTTATATATTTTTATATTTCTATTTATAATATGTATACCGTACTTATCGTTCAATGATTTTTAATCTCCTCGGTATGGCTCAAACGATTGGGTACTTTAGTAGTAACGAGCGTCAACTTCGATATTAAGATGGCGTCGGGGTCAATTTCGATTATAACATCTGGATATATCCTTTGACATTTTTTAACTCGGTCCACGAGCGTTCAGGCGAATTTATTACATTTATATATATCACGGCTCTTGAACATTCTGTATATTTACATGTTGACATTGGCATCGTTATCCAATTGTTGGTATGCGTTCCATGATTCCGTTTCCAACGTTTCCCCTTCTCGCGAGATTATACTGAAATTTCGTATCTTGGGTATTTGGAAATTTGAAAATTTGCTTCGATAGCGCGATACGATTTGCGGTAATTGTTCACTTTGGTCTGCTTCGGTTATCCTAGCGTGTCGTCATACAAAGAGCGTCGATGTTTGGAAAAAATTAACGATTCCGTCGTTTCTCATAAGCATCGACATTGTGAAACAATTCCCGTTTTATCGTATGTTTAAAGAGACGATAAGGAATGCAGAATCGGGTCGGGATTGAACCTCGAATAGCCTATTTACAGTAACAAATTCGTTGGGGATTACACTCCGCATAACGTACCCTTCTTTTTCATACAAGGTATTACCATACCGGATGTTATTGCTAGTCACAAAATTCGATGAAAGACTAATTCCTAGGTTTATGTAATAGCTTCTCTTTATTGTTCGAGATTTAATTTCAATTTTAATTAGCTGAAAGAACTAAAGTCCCGCAGAGGATACGACGCCTTTATCGAGTTGCGAAGTAAGCGTTCGTTTCCCAAGATCATTCTTTTGTGATCGAGAACGAAGAGAAAAAATATTCTTTTGGTAAAATTCAAGGAAATAATTATTCGGTTGAATAGCATTTTTTTTTTTCTCCGTGTAGCAAAAACATTGCGATTGATTTCATTGCTTTTTTTGACGACGTACTTGCTTAGGAGGAAGTGGTCGATACTTTGTCTATTGTCTCAAAAAATTGATTGTGCCTGCGTACGTTCGATTTTGAGTTCTGCGGATGCAATCGATTCCGTGTATGGTTCCCACGTGTAAATTATCCTCCATCCTTAATTAATTGAACCGTAATTTATTGACCGTTATTAAAATATAAATTAGGGTTAAGCAAAGAGAGTACTTTTCTGAGGAGCATACCTTTTGCGTGACGATCACTCGAGGATAAAGACAATCGGGAAAGTTAATTTCAACTGGTCCAACGATACTTGACATATATAACATACGGAGAATTGGAAGACAATTTCATCCAAAGTTAACAACACTCGCGTATGAATTTCCTCGTGGCGAATTTAGCAGGCGGTGGAGTGCTACGAAAATCATTTCGACAGAGAACAATTACGCGAAATCAGCGGGATATATCTTTTCGAAAATGAAGGCAAACTTCTTTACATATACATATGCGTTCTCGGGAGGATATCCTTCTCAGTGTTTGGTATTGCTTTTATGTATATATAACAAGGCACTTTTTTATTTTTAAGAAAAACTCATTGCGCAATTAATGCCGACTCGAATTATTTTCTGTCTCGTATCGTAAGGGCAGTTAATTGAAATCAGAGGATGCTTCTCAGAAAACGTTCCCTTCCCGTGACTCCAGAAGCAGGATTAACTCGTAGAGATTAACTTCATACAGATTTCTATAAATGTTAGAAAATATAGTAACCCGTTTCTAGATTTCCTAGTTGAGAAGAAAAATAATGAATTCAATTAGATCTTTCTCTCGGTGCCGGCCAAATAAGGAGAAACGGTGGAAGCAAAACACTCCCGTAGGAAAAAAGATGGCGGAAGAGAAACCGAAGGGAAAAGCGCGTCTCGCGGACGAAGTTAGTTTCCGTTAGGGTAGGTCAGGATCGGTCGGTTTCGCGGGTCCAGGAAATCGAGTCTCCGACGACATTCGCCCGTGACAATGCCAGTGATGCACCTTTGCTCGGATCTAGAGGCGAGAATCGAGAATCGAAAGGAAAAGCTGAGAATCGAGGTCGGTCGATAGTCCGGGGTTACGTAAAGTTTCTCATCTCGGAAGTCGAATCGATTTCGACTCGACTCGGCCGGACTCTACTTAGTTACACCTCCTTGTAGTCTATAACCTAAAACTCTAGAAACCTAAAAAAGAACCGTCTAGCAGAGTAGTATGTATAGTTTACCATAGTTTTTCTTTAGTAGTAATATAGTAGTAGTAGTAAATTTAATCGTTATAGAACATTTCTCGTTCGATTAGCTAGGCTGGTACTCGATACGTCGTATTTCGTATTTCGTTTCTTTACTACGTCAGCGAGGCGAGAGATTCAAGTATCGTATTAAAAGCGTGTAACGTAAACCACCGTTGTTTATTAATCTTTTCTTCTAAACATCGTGTCATTTAAGCTTACCGCCTTTCTCGTTTGCCCTAGTCTGAAAGGTGGACGTCCCGGATAAGACTCACTTCTAGGCTTAGTTACTCGAATTGCATCTGCTTCTGTACTTGTTATTTTTTTTTTTTTCATTTTTGTTTTTATCTTTACGCAACGTCAGGCTTTGTCGATAGCGTACGGCGAATGATAGGGAGATTGGATTCGTTTCTCGATTTTATCCTACCTCCGTTCGTCGGCCCCTTTTTAAGGCGGCTTAGACGAATTTCGGTAGCTCGACCGTTGAATGAAATATCATCACAAAGGGTCCTCCCCAGGGTTGGGGTAGGTTTCCATTTATAAACGGAAAATAAATCTAGGTAAAAATTCGACGTTAAACGGCGTTAAATCGAAAGAATCTTGTACGCGCTTAGACGTGCGCTAAAGGACGTTTGTATCCTCACGGATACATATATCTTGTTGGAAACGCAATTTATTGCTCTTCTACGTTAAACCATTTACTTGGTACACGTGAAAATAAACCCTGGAGAAACGCGAAATTACCCCAACCCTGGTCCTCCATTTTCCCGCTTCCGGTGCCAAATTCGCGACTGCCGCGAATTGAAAAAAAAAAAAAAAAGTCCGTCGCCCCACTCGTTTGAAAAATTTCACTTTTCGAGAAATTGCCCCGGTGAAAATGGAAGACACAAGACGATTTACTTAACTTCATTCAATCGCCGTTCGCGGTTACATCTCTCGTCGTGAAAATCTCAAATGAACTAACGTATGTGTTAGGTTTGTTGCGTGTTCGCGCACACGCGACTTACTCCGTACTTCTGGTGTAGCTGAGCACTATCACGGCTCCCCTATGTTACTTAATTTTGTCGGAAAGTGACTTCTTTACGCGTATGCTTCAACGTTTTTTTCATCTTGCGTGCGTTCTCTCGTGTATATGTATGTATATGCATATACACCTAGTACCTTTAAAGCCGAATTCTCGTTAATAATATTAGCTATGACCCTTTAGAGCGATCGTCTTCGATAAATGAACTACAAGAATAATCATAATAATCATAATGATAGTGGTAATACCGATAATTCATTAAATTTCCTTTTATATATGCAAGTCCCCTAGTAGTCTAGCCTAACTAAAGCTACGATGCAGGTTACACCTAGGGCTCGCTAAAATATACCTAGGAATTCGAAACGGGACATTTTTTGCCAGACTTGTCATTTAACGTAGCTCGGGGCTGTGCGGATGGCGATTCTTCGATTTCGAGTTTTTTTTTGGAGAACCCTTGGAAGGAGACCCTCCTTGGAAAAGGCGCGATTAAGGGGCATCTAGTTACTTTCGGAGTTTTCCCCCAGCTTCCTTCCTCCTCGCCCGGTCTATTCCCAATCCCGAACGATTCCCTCTAGCGAGGAACTTCTTCTTCCTCTTCCTCTTGGACCACCTTAACCCATTCCCAACCGGGGAATTTGAGAGAAGGTGGCGATCGCGGGTTTCGCAAAACCGATCAATGTACTTCCGGTCGGCAAAGTGTTAGGGTTGCCACCAAATACTAGAGACGCTTCTACGGGGTCGCCGACGACGGTAATACTCTTCTAGAAACATCGAATCCATCGGAACGAGACGGTTTTCAAACGTTCCCGGTCGGCATCGTTAAGGGGATGTGAAAGTCTCGTTTATGAAACTTTTTCCCGAACTGGATATACCGAATGGTCTCGAACTCCGGAGTGCAAACATGGAGGCTGTAAGGAAGATCCTGCCATTCCCGAGAGTTCAATTTTCTTTCAATTTGTTTATAGGCATTTTATAAATGTTGTATAAACACTGAAATTTCCCGGGAGGTCAGGGCCTTCCTCGTGGCCTTCGCGTTCACGTCGAGAATTTGGGGACGATTCGGTGGTCCGATTTCGGAGGAAAGTGTCACCGTCGCATGCCCTTAACCAAGCTCTCGTTTTGGGACAGGGTCGTCTCGTGTCCACCAATGAGATGTAATTCTCAGGCATGGGGGGGGCAGTCATGGGCTGCGCAATTAGGAGAAAGCGTAGGGTACGCGGATAGTATCGTAGACGGTAGTGTAGCATAGTAGATAGAGTATAGTTAAGAGTAGATACTAGCTGGTACGTCGTTGGGACCGGCGGGAAGGAGTCGTCGGCGCGTGGCGCCTTGCCCGGGTACGGTCGAGGAGGCAACGGAAGGTGGGACAAGGTATTCATGGGGATGGGATCGATAATTATCCTCGAAATCGTCTCCGAGAGGTCCTAGAGGACCTTCCACGGGGTCCTTTCTCCGAGCGACGCCCTTAGCGTCGCTCCGGTATCCTTAACTCCGATATATACATATAAATATATATATATATATATATATACATAAAGGACACGCGCATACGGCGGTCGCACGGTGATGCGTGAGCTGCGTACACATGCGGACGTATGTCGAAGACGCGTCTATCTCGTAAAAACGACTCGTTTAAAAAATCTCACCGCCGCGAAGCGCTGTAGTCTTTTTTTTTTTTACCTCTTTCTTCCCCCCATCCCCCCCGCTTTTCCGCCGTAAATGTATTACTTCGCTTACTTAATCGATTAATTATCGGTAGTAATTAATTAGTATTATCTGGTATGATCCCCACGGCCTGCCGGGGCTCCCTATTATCAGGGGGAGAACGGCGCTGCGGAGATACGATTGAACACTGGAGTCGGTGGTGTGGCGTGCGAGTAATGGAAAACTCGTAGGTCCCTTCGTGGCTGCGAATCCTGGAGAGCCCTTTCCCTCTTTTCCTCTTCTTCGCGCCCGCCCTTTCCTAACGGCCTTCTTACTCTCGTTATCTCACCTCTTTTATCGACTGCCCCTTTCCCTTCCGACCGTGTTCCGAGGTCTCCGTATCCTAGGGCTCCGATGTCGAACGCAGGGCGGCACCGCACCTCGGGGGCCTACGCGAGGTAACGTAGGGATCTGCTCCTTTTCCACCATTTGCCCAACACCGGCCACCACGTTGCCACCGTCTCCTTCACTGCAAAAGCGCGGTGCTTCGTTAGTTATTTGGCTACTCGAAATCTTTCCAACTTTCCCCCGAATTGGGCGAAGCGAGTCGTTTGAAACTTCGGCACGTTTGATCTTTGCCTTGCCGATAGGTCGGGGCAAACGGAGATCGCGACTTTAATCCCGGTACTCGAACCCTCGAAGCATACTTGTAAGTACCTAGTAGTCAAACGTCAGTCTCAATGCTCATGCAGGCTGGGTTGATGTTATTGTTGTGGCGAGGGTTACAGTTAGGTTTCTTGGTAACTTCGGGATGAGTTAACAAGATACCTTCCTCCAGCTCCACTATATCTGACTCCGACTCCGACATCGAGCTCTTCTTCATGTGTTGACCTAGGGCAGAAGAGAGGACTCCGATAAGAAGGCCCGAGGAGAGCGAGACCCTCGCTTATTCTTCTCTCGGATCACTTTTCGGGATCTCGAGTCTCGGGGAGGACCAACCTAAAGTCCCGGGGAGGTACGGACAGCTGGTCACGTGGTTGAAGTTCTGGGACTGCATCTCCTCCTGGTCAGTCTCTCGGTGATAGAAGTAGTTGAAGTTGGACACTATTACCGGTACCGGGAGGGCGATCGTCAGGACCCCGGCGATCGCGCAGAGCGATCCGACGATCTTCCCCCAGACTCCGACAGGCCTGGAACAAGATGACGACCCGGTGAAGTCCAGGGTGGCCGCCGACGCGACGGGGAGATATCTGCTTTTGTGCGAGGTGTCGTGTCTATTTGGTGTGCCGTGTCGAGTGTAGGCTCTACTTACGGGAGGGCTCGTTCGAGCAATCTGACCGGTGCTCGGCTAGTTCGAGTGCTCTCTAAGTCTAGACTAGGCTAGAGACTAGGCTAGAAACTAAGCTAGAGTCGGACTCGCTAAGCAGGCTCAATATGCTCGTCTCTATCTATCCCATGATCTGCTTACGTTGAGCTCTGGCCAGAGGCAAGTGTTTTCCCAATACCGGAAACTTTACTTCTCGTTGCTTCTCGACAACGACTCGGCATTTTTTCTTATCGAAAGCTACCGACGCGTTATCGGGGACCTTCGAGGCGACACGAGAAGGGTTATTCCGTAATGAAATTGAAGAAAAATGCCGGAGCATTCTGTCGAATCTCGAGTAGGATTTGTTGGAACAAGGAAACTCTGCCTCTAACCGTGGATTACTGCAAATGCAATGAGTTAATCCTGTGTGTGCGTGTGTGTGTGGATAATCGGCGGACCGTCTACCTCGCGTAGGCAAGCTACTATACGGTGATTTTCGCATGTGTCGTCGATTGCACGAGAGATTTCGTCTCGGTACGATCGACCGATGTACCTAATGGTATGTAGCAGAAAGAAAACCAATGTGGTACCGATGGTAATAATAAAAGTAGCGAGAAATACTCCTGTAGGTGTGTTAAAGGGTGACTGAGCCTTTGTGATGCATGGTCGTTTACCTAAATCACTCTGTTAGTAGACATCGTGTTTTAAGATGTGATGCCGATACGGTGTTCGATTGCATGCCGATCTCTTTGACGATTTTTTAAGCATTCCGGTTATCGAACTCGAAGTCGCATGCACCGAACGGTTAGACAAGTCTCCTTGATTTTTTTTGGAAATACCTGTCTCCCTTTTGTGGGAGAGAAAAGATCCCGTCGAACCGTGGCTCTCGGAAGAACGTTTAGGTTGAAGTGAAAAAATATTCCTCTAAGTACCTACGTTGCCGACATTCGTACGTGTATTGGCAGCTGTGTCGAATTATATTGGGCACTGTACAATGGCGGACATGAATGCCTCCCCTGCAGATACGGCATCGCCTGTGCAGGATGAGAGGGCATCGATGTCTCTCAGTGTACAATGGCGGACATGAATGCCTCCCCTGCAGATACGGCATCGCCTGTGCAGGATGGGAGGGCATTGATGTCTCCCAGTGTACCTAATGACATACTCCGTATATCGTTTCCGGACAATGATTACAAAGGAATCGAACTAAAACTCCAGAAATCACCTGGAGTCGTGGTTTCTGACGCCCTAATTGACTGCGGAGTGCCATCCTGCCCCGGCTGCGATTTCAGGGCCAATTAAATTCTCATTTTTTTCGAAAGTGCAAATTTTGAAAGTGTCAGCATAATCCTTAGGTGCTCACGAGTCACGTGTCAAAGTTTCCGATACTCTTATATATAAAAGTGTCTTAATCGAATGATTTAAGGGGGGAGTTTTCATTTCATCTTGACCCCATGGTAGCGAAAATAATGTTACACTCGCGAAACATTGACACATGATCATACTTTGTCATGGCTATGAACCATATTTCGTTTACAACGAGAGGTTGCATGGCTCGAGTCGTAGGCGCGCGTAAAAGCTATAGTGACACGAGCCGTTTTACATTTTACTGGGTGTTGCAACGTGTACAGAGCAGATACGTATGATGGTATTTCCTTCGAGAGATTTAATAAGAAAAGTGGGAGCAAAGCGAGCCTCGGTTCACTCTAGAGCGACTCCGTGTTCGTGGCGGCCATCATTAATTTTGGTCAATGGTTTACCGATGGTCTCTAAGGTGAAGTGAAACGCCTCGAAAAATGTGAAATTTCAATCTTTGCCGACGTTCGTTCTTAATTTTAGTCTTGGACAGAGTAGAGTGTAGAGTGCCGACTCGGGCAAAGAGTCGACTTATCTTTGGATATCGATGCTTTCGACCGACCACTTCCGAAGAGAGAGATATTAGAAAAGCGTTAGGTCAGGTCGCGGAATCCTCCATCGCGGTGCTGCCAGACGCGTGAATCGTACTTACTCGTCAGAATAAATACCCAAAAATGCTTTGCGCTCTTTTTTTGAGAAAATAAGTACGAGGATAAAATCCCCAGTCTGGCAATACCGGTCTTTCGGATCTGGCTCGGTCCAGCCGACCGAACGCGAGGGTTCGAAAGTACGTTTCGAAACGGAAGGAAGCGACCCCTTGTCGGTGGTCGCGATGGTGGTCGTGGTCGGGGATGGTATCCCGGGGGAAAAGGGACGCCGGAGCCCGTCGAAGGGAAGAATGGGGTCCAGTGCTTCTTCTGGCACCGAGCATAACGCGAGGATGGAGCGATTCATCGTGAGAGAGTGAGCGATCGTGGCTTCTGGCGTTACCGGTGTACCTGGCGGTGATGTGAGTGGTACGATATCGAGGTGATAAAATAGATAAGAGAGAGCTAGAGAGAGGGGCGCGGGAGGGGCGGCGGAGGAGCGAAGGAGAGGGAGCGACCGCGACTCGAGGGGGGAGAGAGAGAAAGAGAAAGAGAGAGAGAAAGAGAGACTCTTGGGTCCGGGGGAGTGGAGAGAGTTGTTAACCAATCGTTCAGTAAACCATGTACAAACGGAAAATCAAGAGGAGCATACTGTGGAGCATTAACTAAAATGTTAATGAAAGTGAGTACATCATACGTCATGTCACCATAGCCCACGGTCGTCATCGTGACTACGGCCCACCAGAATGCGTCCGGAATGGACTTGAAGAACGAATTCTCGGAGCCGGCCTCCGCGAAGTATACCGCCGAGGAGAATAACACCACACCTGCAAGACAAGGGAGAAAACGGGTCTCAGAGAGATCAAGTCGTTGAGTGTACCTCATGTCCCCGTAGCCCACGGTCGTCATCGTGACCACCGCCCACCAGAACGCGTCCGGTATCGATTTGAAGAGGCTTTCCTGAGATCCGACCTCCGCGAAGTATACCACCGAGCTGAACAGGATCACGCCTGAAACACGGCTCTTTCATACTTCCCGCGAACGTCGACCGATCGAGAGCGAACGGCCCACCGATCTCTGTGCCAGTTTCTTTCAATTACGGACGCGCAATCGCGTTACACATTTCGTTTCGAAATTCAAAGGCTTATGCGAACCCAGCGACTTGGCGAATCGGTTGTCCGGATGGCACAGGGATCGGTGGATCATCCCCGGCAAGCACCGTGGATTTCGCCTCGATTCGACTCCTTCGAGTCCTTTCTTCCGACGCCCTCCTGGAGTGCCGGAAACGATACTCCGGGAGGACCGGAAGAGACTCTGTCTAGACTTTACTTAGAAACTGGGCAGAGTTCCACGCCAAATACGTACACGAGGTGCCACGGAAAGAGCGCACGATTTGATATAAAATATTTCGTTTCTCTCTTTCTTGCGATTCTTTGCACGGTTGCAACTTTGGAATATCGATTTCTATCGGGAATTTAAGTCTTGCACTCTTCATTGGACACCTTATGTAAGTACGTTTGAAAGTCTTGTAAGACGCGAAACGTTCACCTAGGATCTTTGTCCGCGAAATTTGGTAGGAAACGTTTCTTTTCTTGAATCTCTATCCTCTCGGTGAGGTCTAATTAAAATCTACTAACGACTACTCGCTCGGCGCTATACCGACTGATCGTTAGTCTCGTTTCACATGTGACGTCCTTGTATCGAATCGTGTACGCGAGATCATTGATACGTTGCTTGTATCGCGATCGCGGACGTTTGGACGGTTTTATTCGCCGCTTTGTGAAACCAGGCTACGGTCGATCGGATTGCCCTACAAGGTACAAGATATTTTTTCGGCAGGAACGGCTTACTTTAAATCTACTTTATAGAGCTTTACTGGTGGAGAACGTACGCGAAGCCGCGGCGCTTCATCAGGACCTGTCCTGATGTCAAATTCAAGGTGCAGCGTCCTTCGTAAGTGCTCCACCGATACATGAGAGTTTTACAGGTCGGTCGAACTATAAGTAAATGCTCTTCTAGAACTGCCTCGGTAAGCGGAAAAGGCAACTAATGGCGCTCGTCGTTTCTCACTTTGCTAGAAATCTTCCTTTAGCGTAGATTAACGAGGGGGTCAAGCCCAGAGAGGCGGCACTATAGTCCAGAAGCTACGTCCCCGGTTACATTTCCACTTGGCAAGGGTTTAGTGCCGGTGGGCCGTTAATCGAGATGGAAGTTAAGATGCTACGCGGTACAAAGGACAAGTTTACCGAATTAACGCAACTCTACGAGTTATCGAGCACTCGGCACATCGAAGTTGGTGGTACTCTTCGGTACTCCTCCCGAGCGTGGCAATTAGGCGCAATTAGACGTCGGCACTTCGAGATCGGACAGGGCCAACTCAGAGCTGGGTGGAACAGTCTCGAAATCTATTTCAAATAAAACTGGTGGTTTGTCATATTTTATCGAGAACTGGGGGAGAATTCGTCCATGTAAAAGTACAATTCAAATAAGAAATATTAAATTTAATCAGTGCTTAAGAAATGGTAGAAGTAACTTTCAGATTGGTTCTTTTCTTTTCTTTTCTGGTACTTTCAATTGGTATAATTACCCAGCTCTGCCAACTCGGATTGCTCGTTTTTTAATCATTGCAAGCGCACAATCTGTGTAGAGACTAATTACGCAAGGTACAAGATGCTTCTAATCGCTATGCTATCACCGAAGGCGACACCGGACCCGATAAACACAAAGTGGGGGGAAATGGAGTAGAACCGTTGACAGCGATCGTATAAACTCATGATCGTTTGATGTATCATGTAAAGGTGTATTTAACGTATAGAAGAAAAAAAAAAGAAACCGTACCCCGTTTCCACGTGCATAAAACGTGAATTCCCCTACTTTGCCTTCACCGGGGCCTCACTCGAGGGTGGTTTAGCTTATCCGTTACGGGAGGAAGGTCGGTTTTAGACCGTCTGCATCCGTCGAACTATCGCGAATCGGTCCGTGGAAGCATCAGCAAGACTTAAGCCGGGGACACACGGACGACGAAGATGACACCAGGTCGCCGATCGGAAGTGGCTGCGCGAGCGACAAGGTCGCGCGAATCTCCATGCCTGTTCGCTTGCGTCGTTGTCGCCGCGATTCGGTGTGTCGTCCAAGTCACCTGTGTGCCTCCAATTTTAAGGTGACTCCACACGAAGATCGTAACGCTCAGGCCAGTGACACACGGAAGACAATGACGAGGGACCCTAACGGGAATGGCTCCGCCGGCAACAAGCACGCATCGAATTATTCGCGTCCCTTTCATTCCTCTTTCATCCCACATTCGCAACCGTCCATTCTCTCCCAGAAGGTGTTCCCGTGTTCCTTTAAGGGGATGTGGAAGTGGCGTCAAAGAGGTGCCGCTTGCGAAACTGCCCTCCGAACTGGGTGTACCGAATGGTCCGAAAGGGAACCCGCGAGTGGTGCGTGAAATTTCAATTCTTTCCAAAGATTCGGGTCGTAAAGTTCGAACGATTCGGTAGACCGTGTTCGGGGGAAAGTTCCATGAAGGAGACTCCTTTGACGTTTCACGTCACCGTACGGATACACCACACGGATACACCCCCGCACAGGGGTAAATTCGAGGGTAGATTCGACATTGGCTTCGACGCATATTCGAAAACGCCTTTGCCGCCGCGACGAGCCACAAATCGTCAGAGTCAGCAGTGCGTCTCCAACTTTAAGGTGACTCCACAAGAGAAGACGAGGCCGTAGAAATAGTTGGTTAAGTTGGACTCACCGATGAAGAGGAAAAAGATGAGCAGGCCGAGCTCCCTCATGGAGGCCTTTAAAGTTCGCCCGAGGATTTGGAGGCCTTTACTGTGCCTGGACAGCTTAAATATTCGGAACACCCTGACCAGCCTGATGACCCTGAGTATCGCGAGGGACATTGCCTGATTGGTGCTCTTGTCCTGCGGGCTGACCGGAGCCTTTGGCAGGTTGAGCGTGTCCTCCTCTTCGGCCATCACCGTGGCTAACGTGATGAAATACGGAATGATCGCGATGATGTCGATGATGTTCATTACGTCACGGAAGAAGTTTAGCTTATTTGGGCAGGCGAGGAAGCGCACCGATAACTCGAATGTGAACCAGATGATACAAATAGTCTCTATTAGGAAGAACGGGTCCGTAATGTCCGGCACTTCGTCCTCTTCGATCTTCGTGCCGTTCGTCGTCGTGTTGAACACCTTGTAATGCTTGAACTCGGGCAGGGTCTCCAGGCAGAAGATCACGATGGACAGGAGGATCACGAACACGGAGATGATGGCGACCACCCGCGCCCCCTGCGAGCTCTCCGGGTATTCGAAAAGCAGCCAGACCTTCCTCTGCATTTCGTGGGACGGCAGTGGCTTCTCCTCCTCCTTGATGAAACCCTCGTCCTCCCTGTTCACCAGACACGGAAACGAGTCAGTCCCTGCTGCCGGCCCGTTTCCGCTTCCGTATCTCCTGCACGCGGGCATGCATTCGTCCTGCGGATCGGGCAAGATGGCCGAGCTCCGAAGGGCCTACCTGAACTTATTAGTCGCCAATTCCCCCAGCTCGTAGAATTTGATTTCTTCGGAAAAGACATCGAGAGGAACGTTGACGGGACGCCGAAGGCGACCGCCGCTCTGGTAATAATAAAGAATCGCATCGAAGGAGGGTCGGTTCCGGTCGAAGAAGTATTCGTTGCGCAGCGGATCAAAGTACCGAATTCGCCTCGCCGGATCGCCCAACAGCGTGTCCGGAAACTGGTTCAGGGTACGCAGCTGCGTCTCAAACCGTAAGCCGCTCACCTGTGGAACAAGAAAGCGGTCTCGGTACAGTCGGGAGCTCGGGGGATGCGGAAGTGGCATCCGAAGGCTCGATCCGGGTGAAATCAAAGTGGGAAGGAACGCATCGGCCGCTCGCTCGCGTTACGTCACCGTCCTAGAGCGGGATTAGCCCAAGACATCATTTGGCAGGTGTCCAAGTTCGCCTTGGAAGCAGGAACGGTGAACCAAGGTTGTATCGCACGAGGGGACCGTCCGCCCTCGTGGTCGGCGGGACCGCATTGCGCCAATTGCGAACTCTTCCCGATACGAATGCGAAGCGAGCCCCCGCGGGATAACGATAGCGACCTCGCGTCAACACCCGCGGCCTCGACTTCGGCAACGGAAACGAAGGATTCCGTTCCGTTCGCGATGCGGACGAGCACTCGCGTGCCGAAATATTAAGCGTCCCGAGAAAGTGGGCCAGGAGCGACAAGCCGAGAGTTTCCCTGCACCGGCTTATGCCCCTGTACGCTGGAAACCGATGCACCTTGCCCTGCACTACGGGCAGATTGATTATGCAAATCCGGGTAATTCGGGACGGGCGGAATCGGCGCCCGGAAAAATACAAAGAAGACGGCGTCGCGAGGCGTGGGCGTGCCTGACTTATGGCCCAAGTTTTAGAAACCAAGTGCTAAGTCCTGCATATAGCGCATAGGCGAATAGAGTCGGACCGTAGCAGCGCTCCCATTAGAAAGTTAGGTATTGATCCTTAGCGCCGGCTTTGCTCGCCAACTCCGGAGGATCCCGAGACTTAAGTCGAGCCCGAGTAAGTAGACTCGTGGAAGCTAGAAATTGGAGTCGGCGTCTAGGTAAAAGGGTGCTGCACGATTTCGAATCAGCCGGTTAGGACGAGTACAGGGAGCAAGACACCCTGGGGGTGAGTCGCAATCGTCAGCCAAGAGGCCGGGTGACGTCGCTTCTCGGTGACGACGTCGCGACGTCGGGAGCATGCTCATCCTTAAAACCGATAGAGGGGGGAAAGTATGGGAAAAGCGACAGGAAGGGGGAGGTCATTGCCCAAAGTGCCGGACTGTTTGTAAACCGCGGCTTCGGAAGACCTCCTCGCTAATGAGTCAGTCATCGGTAGACCCTCTAAGAGTCGAGAGACCGGCCGAGGACATCCGCGGTGCTGGACATCCCGGTCGGTGCGGAGTTCTACTCGGGCTGGTCCACGTTGTCAACTATCGGTGATCAGAAGCAAGCAGGGTGAGTAACTACCGAGCCTACCCACTGGGATACTCCCGAGTGGTACTTACGGTTAGTTACGGTAACGCTAGGTCTAATTACTACGTAATTCCTCCGGGACTCTACGCGACTTCTACCGAGAGAACTGGAAATACTGAACACGCTATTAAGAACCAGTGGTACCTACTTGCCTTCCACCTTAACCTTTTAATCGTTAACGGTTGTCGAACGCGATCTTCGCGTCAATGTGCCGGTCTCTGAATAAGATCTGGACTAAATGACTCACGTTGATGACGACCCGCTCGCAGAAGTCATGATCGTGTGGTATCGGTTCGAAGTGTGTCACGCCTGTGTACTGTGTGTGGGGGTTTGGCCCATCCTCGTCCTGGCTGCTGAGCTTCGGCAGCGATCTGGAAAACGTGGAAGAAATTCGTCACCACCCTGATTTAAGATCATTCTTACCTGCTTGCCTTTCGCCCGGGATCGATTACCGATCCCGAAGGGGTACAACGACTCGGTACGCGGGCATACTTATCTCTTACGACCACTTTCGACTAAGTGATCATTGTTCACCCAAGGCAGAGTCCTCCGTTCCTCCGGATTACATGCCCTAAACCGTCAAACTATCCCGAACCTGGGGGATTACACGGTGCAAACTTATATTACACATAGTTCCGCGCTCGTTATTACTCCGGCAGTCGGGAACTTTTCAGGGACTCGTAGGTATTATTCCTGGAATCTCTCGGTCCATGGGAATTTAGAGATCTTGTACCTCCACGTTGCGTTTGCCTGCCGCAATTACGTGCTCGCCGCGAAAATCGCAACGTCTCGGAAGTAAAGAAAATTACGAGGCGAGGCGTTTCGGTATTTTTTTTCTTCATCTCGTTTAATGGATCAAATGGGAAAAAAGAGGAATTTAAGAGTACTGGGCTGACATCTATTTTTTGAGTAACATGCCTCCTAGATATCGACGCTCCGCGATGAATATCCACTTTGCAATTATAATGACGTAGTTGAACCGGCCTTATTTAAAGTCACGTATCGGGGGTGCATTCGACGTTCACGTGAACTGCAGTAATTATATTCAGGCCTCGAAAGTCAAGTGGAATTCGATAAGGCTTTAACGTCTCCCAAAACCGCAGGTTTTGATACCTCGATAAGAGAGCCGACGCGTACTTGAAATCGCATTACTATTTCCATTTTAAAACGAGTTTATCGGACCTTGGATTATTTCTCCATCCTGCCTAACGCGCGTTAACGCTCGCACGGTGTAGCGGTGTCGCTCAGTTTTAATAATAATTAATAATAATAATAAACGACTCTTGCCCGGAATCTATAAAAGTACTCAAGCCATACTATGACCTCAAGCGGATTATTTCGTATGAAGCTGCGTGTTAAAAACCGCGAGCTATGCGATCCGACCCCTTGACGTTAAATCCTCGAACATGAGGTGTCATTCCCTCCGATGACCTCGACGTTGATTTTCTAACGATTTCAATCATCCCAGAGTGGCGTCGCGAGGACTGGGTTGCGAATGAACAATTCGGTGAATGAATGGGTACCTGCCCCCGTAGTAGTATTTTCTTAACACGTGGGGCGTATACGCCCCACGATCAAATGAGCGCATCAGCAATAGTATTAAGATGCCCATAATTGACTGCATAATGAATTTTTAAAAAATTCTTCATTTTACAATGATAATACCAAATGGCTTGAACGGAAAGTTCAGCGTGGGGCGCATACGCCCCACGCGGCAGGTAACGTGTTAATCAAAGTGGCAACGGAGAGGGGATCGAGCACGAAATTCGGGATCTTGCCAATTCTTGTCCCTGCCATGACCATGACAGTCGCTGTATCTCGTAAGAAACTGCTAGGTACCCCCGGTTCGGGAAAAAGTCTCATGAACGAGACCTCTTGGACGCCACTTTCGCATCGTCCATCGGCTAATTGTTCGGTCGTTTCGGGAAGTTCCTCGGCTCGGAATGCCGGGGATCGTCGGGCTTATTTCTGGGCCGACGATGACATGCACACGTTCGGAACCCGTCCGAGAATATCCGAGTATTGCGCGGATATAAATGGCCGTTTTCATCCGTGGCCGAGAGGTCTCGCCGCCCTGGGGCGAAAGTGAGGAGAAAGTTGGTCGGAACCGTTCCTCTGCCCGAATGCGAAATCGTTTCATCCGCTAGCATTTCGGAATGATATCTTCGTCGTGCTTTTCTCGGGGTAGGAAAAAATGTCCCCCTTCGAGCAGCGTAACGGGGGGTTAATACGAATATTCATAAGTCGAAAAAGAGAATCGCTAAGGGTTAGACCCCAAGAGTTTCCGCGTCGGGGGGCGTAGGTCAGGTGCGACCGAGACGAGTCCTAAAATTAGTCTTGGAATTAGTTAATCCCGAGCCGAGCGGGGAGATTATCCTCAGTTTGCGGAGGCACGGGGCCATTAACCAATTATCGAGTCGAAAGTGACGTCGAGAGTCGACCTCTTCCTTTTGGAGCAGAGTCTTCCCTCGGTCGTGGCGGCAATGGCCGCGTTATCGGTCTCGTTTTAAGACGGTCGGACCTTCCGGTTTGCCCTCGGAATCCGTTGGCGCCGTTTTCATTCCACCTCCCGGGGGAGGTGACAAGTGTTCCGGGTTTTACGGGGCGGACCGATAGACGTAACCCTTCGCGCAGTCGCGGGGTGGGTAGGTCGGGGTTCCCTCTCGGCCATATCTGCAGCTCGTAAATATCGGCTCCTTTCTTCGGTGACATTGCGAGCTCGTATCGGTCGATCGGCAGGAAGCAATCGAGGTATTACCGTCGCTCGCTCGATGCGGCCGTTCCCGCGTTTTGAGTATCCTTGCGAGTCGATGGTATGCAGATTTTTCCCGAGAAATAAAAAAATGCCCACACTAAAATAGATGGGGACCTTTTACGTAGCTCCCGCGTTCGCGTAAGGAAAATCAGGGGGCTTCGCGGAAACGTTAAAGTGGGCGCATTTGAATATTGTCGAAAATTCATGACGGCTACCTCGGGGCGGAAGAAGCGGCCCCTCCTTCTGGCGTTCTTAAGAGCGACAAAGGAGCCGATTCGTTGACTCCTTAAGAGAGTCGAACGTTGATGACTCGAGCTCCTCATTAATTCAGAGCCTCGTCAAAGGTCCCGGTCTCGCTCCCAGGAAGTCGAGGCTAAGAGAAGCGGAGGGAAGCTTCAGTTCCCGGCTCTTGGAGTCGACTCTTTTGGCCCACCCTCGGCTGTCTATGGACCTCCCTCAAAGTGGCCGTCCCTTTAACGCCTCGCGAAACCCTTTCGTTCGAGCCAATGTCCCTCTTCCGCCCCCCCCCGACGGATGCTGGGAAGCTTTTTCGGGAAAAACCAAAGGGTTTCTGCCAAACTCTTCGCTAGGCCCGAGCAACGTTTCTTATCGTCCGAGACGCAGAAAAGGGGGAATCGCTGCCATGCCCTAACGATCCAAATCGGTCCCGGGGTCCTTATCTACTTGGATGACCTAATTACTCCCCTGACGTCATTCAGCACCTTTATCCGAATATTGAGAAACGTGGATGCAGGAGAAGAAGTGCGACTAATTCAAACTAATCGCTCGGTTATTCCCTTTCGGGGGTAATGCTCATCCCCGATCCGCTGTTATTTAAAATATATTTAGCGCTTCGGTTAGTACTTCCGACGTGACACGGAATGCCCGAGATCTTTGCACGAATTGCGGAGGTTCTCTCGGGAGTATAAATGCAATTTTAGAAGGGCGATGGAATTCCCGAGTCCGTTCGTAACGTTCGAGTCACTTTTTCCGTCTCGCGGGGTGCAGATATTTTTGCCAATAAATTCGCCAACTTCTAGATTTTCAAATTTTCGCGACGAGTTTCACTTCACCTTAAGCCGCTTCGTTTATTATTCCCGCGGCCGAAGGACGGCATATTTTTAGGCGATGTTTTATTTCGATACCCTCGAGTACGCGCTGTGTTTTCCGGCTGGTCGCCGTTATGTCATTTTCTGCCCACTAGCCCACAATGCGCTTCCGAAAGAAGCGAGATGCGATTCCTAGGGAAACGTACCATGGCCGAGGCACTTCATGCAAGAGAGGAACAGAACCTCTATATTATTTCTCATTTTTTGTCATCTCGCGGGCAAGAACTCTTCGGCAAAAAAATGGAGCGGAACGACCGTCGACGCTATCGGCGCCTCAGAGAAATACGATCGGCATCGTTTGAACGCACCGGCGAATGTAATTTCGAGTCGAGTCGTCCGGGGATGAAAGTATACCGCGGATGCCGACGAAGATCAAAAAGTCGCATTCGAGAGAGGTACCCGCGAAATGCCGGGTACGCTCGCAAGGGGTTTAGGAAGCGTCGCGTGCAGACATTGCCTCGTTACAGAGGCTCGTACGTTTTCTTCTCGATGCACCTGTCGCCGCAAGGCAAACGACATAAATCCCTTCCGCGAGGGGCCCGAGCAATCTCTCTCTCTCTCTCTAGTTAAAAGGCGGTGGGAACGATCTCCGGAGCTCGGAGCAAAATTTGAAACCTTAAGGGCGGCATCTTTGGATCCTAGACTCGCGCCCTGGTGGGGCATCCCGAGGGGCAGCGTCGGTAGCGCAGCCAGGGAACTGCGGCACTACGGCATTGGCCACCTGCCACGGACCACCCACCGCCTCTTTTCGACTCTACCTCCTGCCCTCCTGACCTGGACGCGAACCCTAACCCGGAGCCGAACCCCTGGGTGTCCTCCTCCGCCTTCTCGCCCCGATTGGTCCTTCCAAGTTTCGACTTAATTCCTCCGATTTCGCCCCTCTGCCGGGTCTCACTTTCACCCCGTCCTCTTTCCATCCCCTTATCGCGCGGCGGATCGATGCCACTCGATATTCGAGTATCGAAACCGGGAGATTAACCTCTCGGGGTGTGCACAGTGCCTCCCCGCTTTATGAGCTCCGACCCTTCAGCTCCCCCGGAGTTCCCACTTCTGAACATCCATCCAGCAGTTTTAGGCCCTCGCCTTTGGGTAGGATCTTCTCGTCGCCTCTCCACTCCCCCCCGGTTGACGCCATTATCACGCCAATGAAACGATTTTGCCCGTGGCTTTCGACTCTTCCGGGCGAAGGAGGGAGACATCGCGCGCAAAGGGGGTAGGCCCTTATTAACCCGTCGGGGTGACGTCCGGTGGCGTACATTTATTCCAGCTTCAATGAAATAATTATCCTTTGAATTAACAAAATTTCTTCGTTCGTCCCATTCAAAGAAGTATTTATTTGGTTCGATGACACTTCCTTTTTCTCCGGGCAGAAGTGCGTTTGGGGAACGCCCGCGCGTTGCATTCGGCTTGGGGGTATTTTTAGTCGCCGTCAATGGAATAAGGTTGCTTCGCCACCCTACTTTAACGAGACACCGAGACGGCTCGAGCTCTCGAGGAATTATTTATC